CCATCTTTGCATGAAATGTTCCCTTGGTATCTCTAATTTTCTGGAAGAGATCTCTAGTCTTTCCCATTCTGTTGTTTTCCTCTATTTCTTTGCATTGATCACTGAGGAAGGCTTTCTTATTTCTCCTGGCTGTTCTCTGGAACTCTGCATTCAAATGGGAATATCTTTCATTTTCTCCTTTGCTTTTCCCTTCTCTTCGTTTCACAGCTATTTGTAAGGCCTCCTGTTTGTTTACAAGGTATTAAAGCTTCTTGCTTCAGTTATTTCATTTACTCATGTTTTTATGGGGCATGCATGCATGCATGCTAAGTCGCTTCAGTAGTGTCCGACTCTGCGACCCCATTGACGACAGCCCACCAGGCTCCTCTGTCCACAGGATTCTCTAGGCAAGAATACTGGAGTGGGTTGCCAGTTCCTTCTCCGTTTATGTGGCTCCCCTATGTAATGTAATTGTTTTTCTCCTGTTAATCTGTCTACTGTCAATTTAATTATTAGGCTAGCACTTAAGAGGGAAAATTTCTCCACCCTACAGTGCTATGAAGAAGTTACCATACCGGGAAGGTTTCTCTTCAGCATAACAATAAGTTTAATTAACCTTGCATGCCTACACCTTGGCGGCTCAGTAGTAAAGAACCTTCCTGCCAATGCAGGAGATGGGGTTCCATCCCTGGGTTGGGAAGATCACGGGGAGAAGGAAATGGCAACCCACTCCAGTATTCTTGCCTGGAAAATCCTATGCACAGGAGCCTCATAGGCTACATACAGTCCTTGGGGTTGCAAAAGAGTCGAATATGACTTAGTCACTACACAACAAAGCAGTTAACAAACACATGTTGAATTGTTGAATGCCTACATACGTTCCATGTCCTCTTATAGATGATTCATCTTTGTTGTTGTTTAGTCACTGACTAGCTGAGGACAAATGCAGTGTAGAAATGCCCAGAATGTTTTTAATCATGATAAAGACCTAATAAACAGGCTACTCCCCAGTCCAGAAGTTCCCAAGTTGAAATTGTCCACGGAAACTGTAAATGGAATGGTGAATCCATTCCCCCAAAAAAGGGGGGTGGGTGGGCAGAAATCATAATTCCATGGTGAACTCTAAGATGGAAACAAAAGTCATTTTTTGTAAATTCCCTATGTTATTTCATAATGGTAGTACTTTATGTATATTACCTTTGTTTATCCCCATAGTAATAAATAGCAGGATTCTAGAAATGAGAAAGGCCTGAATATTTGTCACTGGGATGGTAAGGAAGCCAGAGAAGCTACTAGGTTTTTGTTCTGCTTTTGTTTTGGTTGCATCATGCAGCTTGCAGGCTCTAAGTTCCCTGACCAGACACCAAGCCCAGGCCCCCAGCAGTGGAAGCCCAGAGTCCTAACCCTGGACTTCCAGGGAATTCCCATTACTAGGTATTATATATTCCACATCCAAACTTGAGGGGAAAATCATGAAATGGTAAGGGTTTTGGCAGCTACTGGAGAGCAAGAGCAAGGTGAGTCTCTGAGACCTTCCAGAAGGAGGAAAGTAGAGCTCAGTCCCATATGGATCGGATAAAGATGCTCAGGGTTGAGTAGATGGAGAAGACTCTTGAGAGTCCCTTGGACTGCAAGGAGATCCAACCAGTCCATCCTAAAGGAAATCAGTCCTGAATGTTCATTGGAAGGACTGATGCTGAAGCTGAAACTCCAGTACTTTGGCCACCTGATGTGAAGAGCTGACTCATTTGAAAAGACGCTGATGCTGGGAAAGACTGAAGGTAAGAGAAGGGGATGACAGAGGATGAGATGGTTGGATGGCATCACGCGGGTGGCTCAATGGACATGAGTTTGAGTAAACTCTGGGAGCTGGCGATGGACAGGGAGGCCTGGCGTGCTGCAGTCCATGGGGTTGCAGAGTCGGACACGACTGAGCGACTGAACTGAAGAAATCTTTAAGTGTGTTTCTTCCTCCACCAAAACAAAATGAAACTAAATACACACACACACACACAAAAACAAAAACCACTATAGTGCAGTGACTGAAATATTAAACACGGGAAACTCTGACAAGTCCATTACCCTCCATAACCAATGGCTAACACAAGGAAGAGACTTAAAAAAAAAACACTCTCAAAAGTACTCCCTTATTTTTGTCCACAGTGTCTTACCTGAAACCCTTGTAGTCAATGCAGTTTAATAATTTTTAAAGTTTTGGAATTTAGAAAAGAAAAATAGTCACATATATTATGTAACCATTCCTCACCCTCTTGCTGAAGTGTTAAATACACTAACATTTTGCAGTGAAACATCAGTTTTCACAGTGAAATAAAGACTGTGAACCTCAGATCAGGTTCAGTTTGCAGTGAACTGAACAAAATACTTTGTTTTCTGAGCTTTTCAGATTTGAGAATTACAGATAAAATACAAGGTATTAGAGCACTTAACCAGGAACAAGTATGCTACCATCTTAACTCTTGCCAGAAATTTTTCTACTCCTTCAATTTAGGAATTCCTTTTCTCCTGCAGGAATGCTGGCATAACTAAAGAATGAGACAGGGTCTCCTGATAGCATACAGGTTTATTAAGAAAACTCTAAACCAACTGAGAAAATGAGAATAAAGGCAGAAAAAATTAAGTGGTTATACAACCCATGCATTTGTGTGTACTAACCCAACAACTTCTGTAAAAGGATGTTTATCAACATAGTAAACTTGCTTATAATTTTCTCTGATCCACCAACCCAAATCTCCTGCATTGTAGGCAGACTTTTTACCATCTGAGCCGCCAGGGAAGTCCAAGAATACTGGAGGGGGTAGCCTATCTCTTCTCCAGGGGATCTTCCTGATCCAGGAATCAAACTGCGGTCTCCTGCATTTCACGGGGAGTCTTTACTAGCTGAGCTACCAGGGAAGCCCTTTAATGGTCTACAATGAAGACAAAATATTAAGATAAAATCTTGGTTTAATGGAAAAGTCAACAATTATTTTGCTAACTATTCTCACAGTAATAGTATATTTAAAGGCAATAAAAGCACTGGCCTCAAGGTCAAGCATATTTAGGTTCTTAAACCCTAGTTTTCATCAGTGACTTCTACAGTTTCTAAGCTTTAGCTTTCTAGTATAAAAAATATTGAGATACTAACTTCCAGGGTTGTTGTGAACATTATAAAAAATAAGGCCTAACAAGTTTTAAATGTTCAACATATTTCACAGACCTTCAATATTTCTCTAGGAATGTATGCAATGTGGGAATACCCATAGCAAAAATGAACAGTAATGCAAAGTCAGGATTCATGGCCAAACATAACTATTTATTTTTTAAATAAACATTCAGTTTCTTCTTTAAAACAAAACAAAACCTAGAAATTAAATAGTTCCAATCCCATCACATACAAGTCTGTATACTTTATTTACATCTCTCAAAACATATTACAGATTTTCTGACATTCAGTACTCTCTTATTTTTTTTGCCATATCATATGGCTTGCAGGATCTTAGTTCCCCAACCAGGGATCGAACCCAGGCCTAGGCAGTGAAAGCGCCAAGCCTTAACCACTTGACTGCCAGAGAATTCCCTCAGTATCCCCTCTTAAAACAAAAATGATGAAATAAGTTTAAAGTTTGATCAACAGTAACTACAATTTGAGTAATCTTGGCACAGTTTACAATACAGTGCCCACATTGCATTTCATGTTTCAGACGATTCCCCCCGCCTCCCCGCCCCGCTTCAGCTACTTTAATATAGAGAAACTATCCATCTCCATGAGCGCGGGATCCTGCCTTACTCCTTCTTTTGCACAGTGTGTATGCTACCACACGCTCCCATTTATGGCACTGGTAGTATTCTTCTGGTTTTGTCCTGTTTGATAGAAATGATTTTGTTTAAACTTTAAGTGTTCTTATATTTATTGTATTTCATGATGCTGTTCCTAGATAATTGTAAGTAATAATGTATAGGAAACATTCAAATAAAACAAAACTTTTTCCCTACAAGATTAGTGCCCTTACCACCCTAGCAATGCATGTACAAAAATAACAAATACAATTTAGTGGCTGTAAAAAACTATTTCCCCTAAAAATAGTTATCTCTGCAGAACAATTCAGGGAGAAAAGTGTTCTTAAAATGAAAATGTGCGAATCTATTTTACACCTTATGCAATTAAGTAAACAAAATAAAAATTAAAACATGTGCAAACCTGTAAGAAACAACCACACATAAAAGAATTTATAACAGACATTAAATATTAATAAAATTTTAAATGTATATTACTAATAATATCAGCTTCAGTGACATAGTTTAAAGAAAGTTGTCAACCAAAACAAACTAAAAATGCTTCTTTAAGTTGTACTATCCAACACGTCAGCCGCAAAGTATCTATTGACAGCAATCACTTTAGAATCACCAATAGTGAGGACCTATATAATCAATCTGTTTTGTTTTTTGTCCATGTGAGTGTGTGTTGCAAGATGGGGAGGGAGGAAGATATGGAAAGTCAACAGCCATAAGGAAATAATTTACCTCCAAAGAGAAGGAGATGACGAGTAAACATACAGTTTGGAAAAACCAGTGATTTCACTCTTTGAGTATTTAATCCAAATTTTTCTATTGTGTAGTATTATATGCAGAAAAGAAAATGTGTCACACTTGCAAAACTGAGAGTACTCAGTATTTTAATCTGTATTTTCTCTTTTGTCAAAATTTAAGTATTAATAGTAGTTCACTTATAAATGGCAGACACAGAAACACAGTTTTATAGCTTCAAAATGATTTTTTCTCTATGATTAGCCCATTAGGAGAACCTCAAAAATTCAAATTGTCTGCAATCAGAATTGTTATTATCTATTAAAATCATTTTCCATTAAATCATGAAATAACTTTACCTCTAAACAGTTTTCTCATACACCATCGCACTGATAGCTGAACAACAGTAATTCCTATGTGAAACTGAATACTATGACAAAATGCTGGTATTTAAATCATTTTAGGAGTGGTTCTTAAAGTATAGCTCTAAAATAGTGTTTCTAGGAATTGGTGTATTTTTTAATATCCCAGATATGTTTCAAAATAAGTTTTCCTCTTGGTATGCAGTGACATTTTCAAATATACTTCTTGATTGTATCTTTTAAAAAGGCAGTAAAATGTTAAAGTTATAAATGACATATGAAATGATTATACAGTTTGAAATATTTTACTATGATACACAGACTTAAATTCAGCATAATTAGTATATAAAATGTGTTCCAATTTCTCCAGCCTTGAAATTTAAATTGTTCATTTGCATGAAAATAAGTCTTTTAAAAAAAGGATAGAGGTAAAGGTTGTCATTTTCTTAAGTTAATTCTATCTTAAATATTGGATTCTTTTCTTTTAAAGTTACTATATTTAACTGTAAGATAATTAAACTAAATTAAAAAAAAATAAACGTATACATCCAAATGATACTGCCTACCTCAAAGTAGTGACATGAGGAAGTTATGTTTTTTATTAAATGATGCTACAAATCAATACTCAAAATATTCTCTTCTGCAATTCAGATCCTATGGCATATTCTTTTGCACTTCCTTAATAGTTTAGTTCCAAGAAAAGAGCCAAAGCAGAGCCATTTTGGTAAATGAGATAGGTCATATTAAGCTTCCAGAAAAGTTTTTGGTGCAACTAAAATGATGAAATGGATTTTCTTGTATCGTCACATACCAACTCTCAAGGCATCTCTGAAAGTGATTACACCTCTCCAGTGTAGCTGGAGTAAGTAGTGCTCCCAAAGAAACCACCCGAAGATCAACTCTCACTTCGCTGTTTAAGGTGTGGCATATTTATTTCAAAAGGAAGTCCTACAGACTAATAATTGTATCTCCCATATCTTACCATTTCAGTGGTTATCAAAACCTCTCTCAGAGAGGGTGAAGACAAAGGTAGAAAAGAAATGTTACTGTACTATTTTCCCCTAAGCAAGGAAAATACTAATACATAAAATGGAGTATGGTGATTACATGTAAAATATAAATATGAGCATTATCTGTAATTCCTGAATGTAAGAGATTGTAGTGCTTTCTTTCCTGATAAGCCAGGCGGTAACTCAGTCTGAGACATATTTATTATACTCTAAACATATCTTCTCCCACCTAGTTTTATGTTGACCATTTAGCATTTACAAATAACAAGCAAAGGTAGGAAGAAACAGCTATCTAAAATCTTTGAATTTAAGGTAAACTGACCTCCAAAGTCTCTACCAGCTAACACATACTTACTGTTTTGCTGCAGCCTAATGCCATAGTTTCTGTGGTAAACAGAATAATCAAGCCAGCAAATAAAAGCCAGTAGCACCATCTACAGCTAATGAAAAGATTTTCACTCTTTCTGTTACTAATTTCTTTCCATCACCACTATTCCATCATTTAAGAGAATTCCTAAAACTTGCTTTATATCAACATGTAACCAAAGCATTGTGACAGTAACACTATGTAAACTTACTACTTTATATTTCATGCTTTCATCAGCAGATGAGAAAACCAACTTCTGCTCTGTATCTCTGTAAGAAGGGAGGGACAAGGAGGGGGGGGAATCATTATCCTGGTTATTTATAAATTAAGAGACTTGGAAAGAATCTGATAGACATTTGTAAGCTAACTCTGCTGCAAAACAAGTGTGATCCTTATTTTATAAAGGGCAACTTGCTAATGCTCATGGGAACCAGCTGAATGAAAGCGACTTTTTCAGATCAGTTATCTCGCACACGCTCTGGGTTTCCCTACCTGCAGCCATGTTACCATGTACACTGCCAGGCCTCTCCCTGGGAGAACGTCTCTACTTTGTTACCACATATACACATGCATATGTCCTTACTTCCCAATACCTCTTCTTCAAGGAATACTCAGAAGCAGGCACCTGAGATTCTGGCACAGTGACAAGAAACTCCTATCTACCTAGAGTGGAAAAGTCAGTTCTGCTACTAAACATTAATTTATAATAACATTTGTACAGTACTGTGTAAGGCTTAAATGAGCAAAACAAAGGTTTCACTTTTCTCTCCACACTTGGCTACTGCAACCCCTTTATTATCAGGTTGATATGAAGTCAAATGCAGTATGGAAGACAATTTGAATTATCATGTGCTTCATTTTCCTAAATGAATAGGACCCAAATCACTGGATGTCAAATTTTACTTCTGAATCAACCCACAGTGGCTGATGTTGTATATTTGGATACTAAAATATTTGTTTTAAGGAAATCAACAGTTCTCACTGCAGTTTACAAATAGGTATTACCAATGAATGTCCAATGTATTTGCCTCTGCCAGGTTCTCCTGTTAATTCCATGTTGGTATGTGGAGAATGACTGCTAGAAATGAAATGGGATAAAAATTTCCTAGTGATCATAATTGTAATGGCATTAAATTGTACCACTATTCGATTTGTTAATGGCAAAACCAAACTGATTTCATTTTACATTCTTTTCTTTTAAGTGTTTTTAGTCTATACAATTTCAGAGCAAGATTTCTAGTCTACAAGGGAAAAGGTATATATTTCAAACTGAAGGAAACAGTTTTACCAAAAATGACAAAATTAAAACTGCAAGTCTAAGAGGATATTTTGCAAGAATAAAACTGAAGTGAAAGATGTTAATATCTACTTTAAAAACTAAGTTTCTGAATTTTTTATTTATGGGAATAGTTCACTAGAAAGTCATGGCAAAAAAAAGGTAAAAGTTAGCAAGTACTCATTTAACACTTTCATTATCTGATATCACTGCAAAGAAAAGACTTCCTTTCACAGTGGAAAAATCAGAAGTCAGAACGCTTGGGCCTACAACAAGCAAAGAAGGTACTGTATCATTTTAAAATGATAAAACACCAGCTCCATTCACTGAATGGAAATGCTATAAAGTGATCAATTTTCCCACAGAGTCCTTAAATTCCATGTGTATGCCTATATCTAAAATCAGTAATTTATTTTTAACTTCACATGGAAGTTGATTCCTAAAAGGAAGTCTCCAAGACTTTGTTTACAAGATACTGATTAAACTCTTCATGCCATTCTAGTCAAGGGTTTTGAGAAAGGACTTTCTTGAACTTGACCCTATACTTAATCCCATCTATAACGCCCCAATCAAACTAACCCTACCCTTGTCCCTCACAACCACACACTCCAGTCCTCTTCAAAGCAGAAGGGGATTCTGCAGACTTATGGCTCATTTGGCAATTGCTAAGAAACCTCACAGTTCAGCATCACCTCTGGAGATCGCAAACCTATATATAACCTGAATTTTTACACCTACAGTGCAGTTAAAGTGTAGAAAGAAGCCAAAATGTAACAGCTATCACATTTCAACATCTTCAAGTTTCAATATCACAGATATCAAGAGATGGAAAAGACTTGCCTGTAGAACTTTAAGCATCTGTTGAACAGAATTACTATCAATATCAAAAATAATTAAGAAATACTAATTTTTTATGCCCTACACGCACACCTTTACAAATTGTGTTTCTCTAATGTAGTAAAAGTTGGAGATCATCAATTTAGGTAAACTATGGCTTTTATCAATATTTTAAAACATGCATCAGTTAAGTGCCCTGGGTAGACATCCTAATATTGTTTCAAGCCCTGTTAAATTCTATGTCTGTGCTTTGCACCTCAGAAGTGAGCCTGCCAAGGCACTTAAAAACGTCTTTTGGGGACTTCAAAAATCAGCCACAATTTACACAAGGAGAACCCCCATCCATGAGCAGTCCAATCAGTAAGCATTTTCTTTCAACATATAACATTATTAAAAATTCTCCAAGTTAAAAAAAATACTATATGCCACTAAGACAAAATTTACCCCTATCAAATGTATAGACAGTGGTTCTTGGCTTCCTCCAGCAATAGTATATGGTTTCATTTATTCAGATTAAAGAAAAAGGAACCCAAACAAGCCCTCCAAGCCTAAGATTAAAAACAACCAAGATAAAAATAAAATACAACAAAATCCAAATACTCTCCACACAGTTTCATTTGAGGAATAATTTGCATAGGTCCCCATCCTTTTATCTGTCCTTTGAGGTGAGTTTTTCAATCAGTTCCTGGAGTGGTGCAAGTTCTCTTCTGTCAATAAGGTTGAATTCCTATGTGCCGACAAAGGCAGAAGAAAGCAAGAACATATTATTTACATCTCATTCCAAAATAGATTTCCATTAACATTTGTTGGAAATTAACTTTTAAGTAAATAAAATTCAAATCTTTAAAAAAAAAATTTTTCCCCCTATTCCCTATCTCTTGCATCTTAGGCAAATTATTTAACCACTTCTGGTATTTTACATTTCTACTAATATTAGGATAAATTATCTCATGAGATTCTGGAGAAGAGAATGGCAATGCACTCCAGTATTCTTGCCTGGAGAATTCCATGGACAGAGAAGCCTGGCAGGCTACAGTTCGTGGGGTTGCAAAGAGTTGGACACGACTGAGCGACTCACACACACACAGACACATATCTCATACGATTACTAAGGGGAATAAGTGTGATACTGTGTGTTAACCACTTCATGTAATCCCTGGCACAGAGGAAACAATAAATGAGACTTGCTGCTCCCTGTTAGGATAAATAATTGGGACACCATTTAGATATATCCAATCAAGTAGGGACCAAAGAAATTCTCGGGCAAATTTCAGCATTATATGAAGAAAAAAAGATTTAGTTTATGTTATTAACTAACATATCTGCAAGCTACATAGGATATGGTATGAGAATGATATGAATAATGCGGAGTCCACAGATGATAAGTAATAAAATCCTATCAAGAACAAATAAGAAAGCCTGGATTTAATTTGTGCTTTTTCAGAAGTTCTATCACTGTCATTCTGAAATTCAATTCTGAATAGCTTTCCCCTATAAAAGTAGCTTATAAATTATAAGGTTAAAACATAAAGGTTGTCGATATTTCTGATCTTCTGCCACAGTGGGGCATTCTGAGATCTCAATTTCACTCGTTTATTAGCACTTGCCATGTGCCAACCACTACAGTAAGTACTAAGAAGAAACATTAAAGGGGCATTTAACAGCAAGTCTACCACTAAGATTTGTGGGGTGTGGACCAAGAACACAAATCGATTTATATCACATGACTATATTATTATATTTTATATTAAGCTAATATATTTTTATATATGTTTGATTCTCCTGCCTTGACAAATACACCTTCGTAGTAGCCAGGAAGGCAGATTCAAATTTAGAATTTTTAAAAGACTCCTCAAGAGTCTACATGTGAGGAGAGCCAGTCCTTGGCCCTCAGCAAACCTCCCTGATCTACCAAACCCCAGCTCCATCCTGTAATTCAAAGGGTCTCACATGTAGGAGTGTGGACACCCTGACTGGCTTATAAAGGGAATGTCCACACACACTCATGAACAGCTGCAATGTGGGTATTCCTTAGGTTTAGAGGTATACACATGAGACATGATCTTCTCTTAAAATAATGTACCAATAGAAAAGATCCATGCAGATCCTGGAAATACACTTGGGACCACGTGGACAGGGAATTCTGAATCTCAGGTACCCAAGCACATACCAGAAGGGACTTATGCAGGTATGTTCTTGGCCCTGTGGATTTCTCACTCTGTGGGGAGAAGTAAGCTGGAGAAGGGCCAGGATAAAACTAAATTGTGAGGCCCAGGGCAGGGGCCACTCTCACTCAAAGAGGTGATACTATATAACCAATGGACCCATCTTTAAAACCATCACAGTGTCCTCAGATGCAATGAGGCTCAGATGTGGTAAATGCCACATACCAATTTCGTACTATTTGCTAGGAGTTGGGAGATACAGGGTACTTTAACATCATACAGTAAGGTAAAACTAAACTTCCTGGTGAGAGAAATCCTCTCTCAAACTACTGAAACCTCAAGTAATCATGTTCTGCCTAAACCAAGGCACGGAGACAGACATTTAGTATAACATTTTCTTTGTTTCTACTGGTGTCTATAGATGGGACACCACAGTAAAATAATTACTCAGAGCAATGGTTTTGGCAAGTTCAGTTCAGTTCAGTCGCTCAATCGTGTCCAACTCTTTGCGACCCCATGAATCGCAGCACGCCAGGCCTCCCTGTCCATCACCAACTCCCAGAGTTTACCCAAACTCATGTCCATTGAGTCGGTGATGCCATCCAGCCATCTCACTTTTTGTCGTCCCCTTCTCCTCCTGCCTCCAATCCCTCCAAGCATCAGGGTCTTTTCCAAGTTACTATCTCCTAAATTTTCTTTGTTTATATAGGTGAAATTAAGATACAAAACGTGTGCCCTCAGTGTGAGGAGTGTGAATAGAAGGAAAATAAATTTTTCTTTGTGGAGATGAGTGTGAGAAAGGCATTTATAAGTTTATAATACAAAAACATTAAAAAACAACAGAGATATGCGTCATGGACATCTCCTACCTACCATCTTCCTTCTCCAACCTCCACTGAAAAATATCTGCTCAGTTTATGCATTTCTACCTTTTTCACTCCTACCTGTTGGTTCTCTAATTACTATAGCAGGGCAAGAATAAACTCATTTCTTTTAGTCTACATCTCTAAGGCCAGTTGTCTAAGAACTAAACAGTGAAGGAAGAGGTCAACCTAAGGAGTCGGATCAAAGATTGATGGACCTCCGGAATATCAACGCTCTTTGGGACATTTTTCCCCCTTTGGAATAATGGACAGTATCAAATTCAGAACTTAGAATATGGTTTTAAAAGGAAGGAAAAGATATTCTATTTAAAGTTCATTTCCATGGCAGATCTTTAAAAAAAGATCTAGAGTAGCCAGGAAAAAGGAGCAGCAGGAACGCTCAGAGACAAGTGCATCTCCATGTCTACCAGCCAAGTTCCCTCTTCAGCTGCTCCATTACAGACAGTTAGCTGCAGTAAGGTTGTTGAGATTCACTGTAGACTTGTGATGGAATTCAGAAACTGAAGGCAAGTCTTTATCATCATGGCAAGTATTAAAGAGGATAAAGACTAAAGAAATAGAGCAAATTTTATCCTGACAGTATGGATGTAGTATTCACCTCATTACTCTGTAGATAACTGCTTTTACTGAGCAAAAAACATCTGCTAATCCAACTTGAAAGTAAAGTTGCTCAGTCGTGTCCGACTCTTTGCAAACTGATGAACTAAACAGTCCATGGATTTCTCCATGCCAGAATATTGGAGTGGGTAGCCTTTCCCTTCTCCAGGAGATCTTCCTAACCCACGGGTCAAACCCAGGTCTCCTGCATCACAGGTGGATTCTTTACCAAATTCTCAGAATTTGAGAATTTACCAAATTCTTTACCAAATATTGAGCTATCAGGGAAGCCCCTAATCCAACTTACCTGGACAAAAAAAATAAAGTGCTTGAAAGATGTATTGAGATGTGCTTCTTCTTGAAGCTGGATCACAGGGTCGAAATGCTGATGATAAATGTGAGCATAAACCCTAAAGAGGCGTTTGAGTATAGTTTTTGCCACAGACATGAAATTCTTCGGAAATGGGACACCTAGTAAAGAGATAAACAACTCCCTCTATTAACAAGAAGAGAACAAGGCAGTATGAGTTTGTCAGCAAGTGACAACATAAATTACCAAAACAAGGCAGAAAATAAGAATATTTTTATTACCACTTAATATACCCATTGTACTTTTCAAATGTTCTCAGTATATCATGAATGAAAACAAACTTCAGTGCCTCTATGGAATAAGAATCTGTCTTCAGTAGAGCCCCTTAAGCCTGTAATATAACACCAGTTTACCAAAAATACAACAAATAAATGTCTGAGATGGTAATGGAGCTAAAATGCACACCTAGTCCCTCAGATTTCTTATGCTGAACACAAATAATGTATTACCACATTTAGTTTTGTTTGAAATGCTGGCAATACAGTTTTGTATTTTTTTTACTATGGAAGTTATTGCATTACTACACCAGGAGTACATTTACCTGGAATTTAGCTGTAGTCTCTGCTCAATTAGAGAGACTGGCTTTCTGAATTAGAGTACTTTTATAGCATTAAACAAATATACAACTAGAAAAATACAAAAATCCATATCCCTTGTTAAACTGGCTAAATGATCCAGACAGGCGAAACACAAGCAAAGTATGGTACTAGAGGCTTCAGTGTGGCCACATTGCCTCCTGCCCATTTAAAACTAAAACAAGTCGCAACAAGGTCCTGCTGCACGGCACAGTAGGGAACTCTGCTCAGTGTTATCTGGCGGCCTGGATGGGAGGGGAGTGTGGGGGAGAAAGGGTACATGTATAGGTATGGCTGAGTCCCTTCGCAGCCTACCAGAAACTATCACAACATTGTTAATCGCCTATACTTCAATATAAAATTAAAAGTTTAAAAGAAAAAAGTTACAGGTCACAAGAAAACGTAAGACAACATAAGACATCTGGGGGGACATAAGTGTCTCCCAAATGAAGGGACACTATACAAAATAGTATGTCACACTCTGCAAAAATGTCAATGTCATGAAAGACCAAAAAAGACTGACAAATCAGAATAAGATCTGTAAAGTAGACAATAATATTGTACCGGTATTAATTCCCTGATTTTGAAAGTTACTCTGTGATTGTCTAAGAAAACACACATTGAAGCACATGGAGATAAAGGTCATCATATATGCAACTTACTCTCAAATCTTCAGGAAAAAGAAAGAATGTGGGGTCAGGAGGGAAGAGAAAGTAGGGAAGGGGTGAGGGAAGGAGAGAAGCAGGGAGGGAAGAAGGGAGAGAGGGAAGGCACATGAGTTAAAAGGCCGGCAACTAAACAATCTGGGAGAAGGATATATAAGGGTTCTTCGCATGAGTCTTACAAATTTTCTATTAACAGAAGTCTGAAATTGGATTAAAATAAAAAGTTTAAAAATATGGAAGATAAAAGATGAGGGCACTTATCCCATACCATACTATGTATATAAGGAATGCAGTTTTGAAAAATAGACCTTTCATTACAAAGGTTTTGAAGTAGTTAAAGCATTCAATGAATGTGTCACAACAGCAACTATTTACATTGCTGTCTCCTCCACCACATCCTTCTCCTCAAAAGTAAAAAAGCATAAAATACAGTCAAGAAGTTGAAAAAGCAAATTCTTATTTTTTTCAGAAAACACAGCTGTAAGCAGTTTGACACAGTAAAATCATTATGAACTGTTAATAAATAAATGTAAATAAATAAATGTGAATAAATAAATAAATGTAAATAATTTCTGCTTGAAAGTTTAGCCCTTTAAAAGGTCAGCGAATATAAAAAAAGCAAAAGTCACTTAGGTGCTAACAGGCCAACCCATCAAATCTTGTTTTCTTCTCACCTAGTTTGATTTCACAGTCGGCAAGGCTCATGCTATGGGTCATGAATACAAATGCTCTGATAAAAATATAATGTAATACTGGGTTCATATCATATAAAAGTGAAAGAAAGTGAAAGTCAGTCAGTCATGTCCGACTTTTTGGGTCAAACTCAATGGGTTACTCCATGACCCATGGACTGTACAGGCCAGAATGCTGGAGTTCTAGCATTCTGGAGGGTAGCCAGTCCCTTCTCCAAGGGATCTTCCCAACCCAGGGATCGAACCCAGGTCTCCCTCATTGCAGGTGGATACTTTATCAGCTAACCCACGAGGGAAGCCTAAGGTCATACAAACTCCCTTTCTAAATATGAAATGGACACGACTACAGCAGATGATTACCAGCTGTCTACCCAACGTCCAGTCTCTTTTTTTCCCTTAACACAAGCCAGATTTGTTACAGTCCAAAATATACAGATCTTCTTATTGTTTAAAATTATAGGGAGGTTTACCTAATTAATGCATGATAAACTTGGTATGAAAAAGACACTTTTCAAGCATATAAGACTAGAAATATTAGAAATATTTTGAAGTGACAATTAATGTAGCATGGTTCCTTGAATATACAGGCAATTCTATTGTAAGTCCTAGAAAAGTATGAAGGTAGATAAATCATGACGGATCCCAGTTAACCAAAACAATTATACCAATTTTTGATGGAAATAATGTCTCATCATCCAACTGGTCCTGAACCCAAGTCATCAGGTAATCAATATACTTTGGTGCAGAGCACTTAATAGGCTTCTTTATATTTGTTCCATCTGCCCAATGATACTCATATCTGTATTGGAAAGATAAAAAGCACACAGAATATCAATATAATCTATACATAATGTCTGTATTTTTTGTATCACACATATGTTTTTATGAATATATTCAGGACATATTTTAATCTCCTCCTCCAAATAAATATTTTTTTATATTTGGCATTTTTAATTTGCTATCAAACTATTTTGCATTTATCAGGATACAAACTAAGATTCCACCAAGCTCATTTTTTGTGAACTTTCCTTCATATATAACTTTTATACTTTAGAATCACATACAGTATAAATTGCCATAGCAGAAACCCTAAGTTTATTTTCCACTTCTATGGTGATCATCTTTAATCTTTATAATTGTTGTCTTCTTCCCCAAAAAACATTTCTCCTTACACAGTACAATTCTCCTTTACTTGGGGCGTTAAAATTTGGGTTAAAGATAGAGAATGAAACAGAAGTGCCAAAGTAAAATGAATGAAAAAGAGAATGATTCAATATTTGAGTATACTTGGTTGAGGAGCTAAACAAGCCTTTGAGGAAGACTGGAACTCCAAATAAAGATGCCTACAGTATTTGGGTATTAACGAGACACTATCCTTTGGTACAACAAATGTGCACCTACGATATGAGAAATGATGAGTCAAGGAATGCTGCTCTTGAACAAGGGACACTGAACTGAAAGACGTTTTCTCTATTCTCACAGAGAAAAGACTGGTAGAGAAGACAAACCTGTAAATGAGTATGTGAAAACAGTGCAACAGAATGCTCATGGAGTTAACTACACAAACATACACTCACAACCACAACCTGATTTTTTTAAGATAATAAGCATGCAGCTGAAACTCCAAAGGACAAAAATGTCTAAACCGAACTAGCATTTAGTTCAGTTTCTGAAAGATTACCTCTGCCTCTCCCTTTGAATCAGTTGTGTTTTTCTAACCTTGCCCCAGAGTTTGGACTGACAGAACAACAGGTGAGAAAGGTCAGAAAAGGAGCTGAAAGAAAATATAATGGAAAAATACTACAGGGTATTTTAAACAATGAAAACCATCTTGAGACAGGATAAATAAGGATGCCTCCTATTTAATCATAGCTACTCACACTTGAGCAGTAAATGTTAAATAGGATACACTCAAATAAATATTGTGACACCACATCTTGTTGCCAACCCTGGGAAACAGGGATGAAATGTCAAGTTTACTTTGAAGGTCTCCAATAGGCAATTTCCCAACACTTCCTGGCATCCTATTTCACTATTTAATCACTTTCACAGTCAAGAGATTCTTCCTAATATAAAACGAAGTCTCAGGTGTGCCTTAAGCTTCTTCTTGTTTGATTCTCTTTGGAGATAGAGAATATGAATGGTAGGACTTTAAACCATCATTACTTAGTCTTCCTGGAGAAGGAAATGGCAACCCACTCCAGTATTCTTGCCTGGGAAATTCCATGGACAGAGAAGCCTGGCGAGTTACAGTCCATGGGGACCTAAAGAGTCAGACAAGACTGAGTGACTAACTACAGCAACAGCTTAGTCTTTGCTTAAAAAGAAAGGCATTCACCTACGTTTTCTCCCTTATGTTATGAATTCTTAATGTTTTTGCATTTCTCTTATAGTCACGTTTTTCATTCTGTTAATGATTTCCAGGTGTTCCATATTCATTTTTTAAAATTTGTATTTTATTTATTTATTTGGCTGCACTGAGTCTTAGCTACAGTATACAGGATTTAGTTGTGGCATGTGGGATCTAGTGCTCTGACCAGGAATGGAACCCGCACCCCCTACATTGGGAGCTTGGAATCTTAGCCATTGGACCACCAGGGAAGTCCCCTATATTCATTTTTAAATGCGAAAGTCAAAAGCGGACACAGTAAACCAAAAATCATTTTCAATACCCTGAAGCTTTATAAAAAAAATACTAATTTTCAATGCCCTAAAGCTTTCTGAAAAACAAAACTGTATATTGCTTATACTTCTAGAGTTTATAACTGTGATCCTCTGAATCTTTTTCTTTTGTCATGTTTATACCTAAGATGGGGATTCCCTAATAGTTAAGTTGGTAAGAATCCGCCTGCAATGCAGGAGACCCCAATTTAATTCCTGGGTCGGGAAGATCAGCTGGAGAAAGGATAGGCTATTCACTCCAGTATTCTTGGGCTTCCCTTGTGGCTCAGCTGGTAAAGAATCTGCCTGCAATGCGGGAGACCTGGGTTCGACCCCTGGGTTGAGAAGATCCTCTGGAGAAGGGAAAGGCTACCCACTCCAGGATTCTGGCCTGGAGAATTCCATGGACTGTATAGTCCACAGGGTCGCAAAGAGTCAAACACAACTGAGCAAATTTCACTTTCACTATACTTAAGATGACTTCATCTTCTGACTCTATTTTGTCCCCAATGATTTTTTTATTTCACCTTTGACAGATAGTTGTCTGAAATTTATTTCTCTCGTCATGGTATGAACTTTTAAACTGCAAATTCCCAAATATTCATTTCTTGGTTAACAACAATAATAAATAACAACAGAGAAACCATTCTAAGAAAAAAACTGCAAAAAGTACTAACAGGTGGAGTCTAAACAACATACTACCCAAAAATCAATGGGTCACTGAAGAAATCAAAGAGGAAATCAAAAAATACCTAGAGACAAATGAAAACAAAAACATAGTCATCCAAAATACATGGGATGCAGCAAAAGCAGCTCTAAGAGGGAATTTTATAGCAATACAAGAATATCTCAGAAAATAAGAAAAATCTCAAATAAACCATCTAAGCTTTAATTACCTGTGAAAATGGAACAAATAAAACCCAAAGTTAGTGGAAAGAAAGAAATCATGAGGAACAGAGCATAATTAAATGAGATAGAAACTAAGAAAAAAAATAGAAAACATTCATGAAATTGACACCTGGTCTCTGAAAAAATAAAATTGATAAACCCAAAGAAATAAAATCAGAGATGAAAGAAGTTAAAAACAATAGCAGAGAAGTACAAATGATCATTAAGAGATTACTACAAAAAATTACAGCCAATCAAATGGATAACTTAGAGCAAAGTGATAAACTCCTAGAAACATACAATCTCCCAAAACTGAATCTGGAAAAAACAGGAAATATGAACAGATGGATTACCAGTATTGAAAATGAATCAGTAATTTTAAAAAACAAATAAACAAAAAATCTCCCAATAAACAAAAGTGAAAGACCAAACAGCTTCACAGGTGAATTCTACCAAAGAACTCATATGCTGCTGCTAAGTCGCTTCAGTCGTGTCCGACGCTGTGCAACCCCATAGGCGGCAGCCCACCAGGGCCCCCCGTCACTGGGATTCTCCAGGCAAGAACTCTGGAGTGGGTTGCCATTTCCTTCTCCAATGCATGAAAGTGAAAAGTGAAAGTGAAGTCGCTCAGTCATGTCCAACTCTTATCAACCCCATAACTCAACATCAAAAAAATAAACAACCCAATTAAAAGATGGACAGAGGACCTGAATAGACATTTTTACAAAGACATACAGATGACCAACAGACACATTAAAAGATGCTCAATTTCATCAATCATGAGGGAAATGGAAACTAAAACCATAATGAGATACTGTTTCACATCTGTTAAAATGGCTATTACCAAAAAGACAACAAATAATAAGTATTGGCAAGCATTTAACAAAAAGGAAATTTTTATGCACTGCTGATGAAACTGTGAATTGATGCAGCCACTATGGAAAAATGTATAGAGGTGCTTCAGAGTCTCTTCAGAATATTAAAAATATAACTGTCATAAGATCTGGCAATTTCATCTCTGGGCATTTACGCAAAGAAAACACAAACACTAATTTGAAAAGATATATGCAAAAAATTTTTCATTGCAACATTATTTTCAATACCTAAAATATGAAAGTGTCTATCAACAGATGAATAAATAAAGAATATGGGCTATGTATATATATTTATATTTATTTAAAGATACAAGTTATAAGTCAGCTTGAGAATATACTATTCAACATAAGGAGTATGGTCAATGACACTGTAATAACTGTATGGGAACAGATGACTACTAGACTTAACATGACGATCATTTCATAATGTATGGAAATGTCAAATCATTATGCAATACACCTGAAACTAACATAACATTGTATATCAACAATTATTTCTATTTTTTAAAATGTAACGGAAGCATTTTTAATAATCCAGTTTGGACAGAGAAGCAGACGCAAACAGAAAAAAGGCAGGATGGAGCACAGTACAGCAGGGAGGACCATAAAGCTCAGGCTAAGGAACTCTCGACTCAGAATACTAGTCACTGGTGAATCACGGAAGGAGACAGTAAATACAGAAATTGTAAGGTCAGAAATTTTCTTCTTATCTAAGAACTGTATGATACAGTAAAATTGAGAACTGATCATAAATCATATCTTACTTTGGGCCAGCTGACATCACCGGACAACTTTCTTCCGTACAAAAATCTGTGATTGTTCCATAAAGCATGTTGATCTGATTGAAGAAATCTACAGCTGCAAAGCAAATATTATTTACAGGTAAAAAGTTAAATTTTAATTTTAATCAAAGAGAATCTTTTATTTCAGCAAAATATGAGCTCTATCCATATTCTTTCCTCAACAAAGAACAGATAATCAGTATACAAGAAAAAATACTTAACTCACTGAATTTGGGAGCTTCTGGTTAAGTGACTCCCTTAAGAGAATAAAAAGGCAAGCACACCATGTTGATGTATGGCAGAAACCAACACAATATTATAATTATCCTTCAATTAAAAATAAATAAATTTTAAACAAGGCAAGCACAGAGTGGGAAAAATTATTTGCAACACATATCATCAATAAAAATCCTGTATTCAGAATATATAAATAACTTTCACAGATCACTAAGAGTGAGACAGTTTCTGAGTGTCTTGGCTATTTCTATGGAAAAGAATAAAACTCGACTTTTCACTTAGTTCAGTACAGTTCAGTCACTCAGTTGTGTCCGACTCTTTGTGACCCCTCGGACTGCAGCATGCCAGGCTTCCCTGTCCATCACCAACTCCTGGAGCTTGCTCAAACTCATGTCCATTGAGTCGGTGATGCCATCGAACTATCTCATCCTCTGTCATCCCCATCTCCTCCTGCCTTCAATCTTTCCCAGCATCAGGGTCTTTCCTAATGAGTCAGTTCTTCCCATCAGGTGGCCAAAGTACTGGAGCTTTAGCTTTAGCATCAGTCCTTCCAATGAATATTCAGGACTGATTTCCTTTAGGATAGACTGGTTTGATCTCCATGCAGTCCAAGGGACTCTCAAGAGTCTTCTCCAACACCACAGTTCAAAAGCATCAGTTCTTCGGTGCTCAGCTTTCTTGATGGTCCAGCTCTCACATCCACGCATGACCACTGGGAAAACCATGGCTTTGACTAGATGGACCTCTGCTGCAAAGTAATGTCTCTGCTTTTTAATATGCTGTCTAGTTTGGTCATAGCTTTTCTTCCAAGGAGCAAGTGTCTTTTTTAATTTTGTAGCTGCAGTCACCATCTGCAGTGATTTTGGAACCCAAGAAAATAAAATCTCTGTTTCCATTGTTTCCCCATCTATCTGCCATGAAGTGATGGGACTGCATGCCATGATCCTAGTTTACTAAATGCTGAGTTTTAAGCCAGCTTTTCCACTCTCCTCTCACTTTCATCAACAGGATCTTTAGTTCCTCTTTGCTTTCTGCCATAAGGGTGGTATCATCTGCATATCTGAGGTTACTGATATTTCTCCTGGCAATCATGATTCTAGCTTGTGCTTCATCCAGTCTGGCATTTCACATGATGTACTCTGCATATAAGTTAAGTAAGCAGAGTAACAATACACAGCCTTGATGTACTCCTTTCCCAATTTGGAACCAGTCCATTGTTCCATGTCCAGTTCAAACCGTTGCTTCTTGACCCACATACAGATTTCTCAGGAGGCAGGTAAGATGGTCCAGTATTTCCATCTCTTTAAGAATAAAAAAAAAAAAAAAAAAGAATTTCCCACAGTTTGCTGTGATCCACACAGTCAAAGGCTTTAGTGTAGTCAGTGAAACAGATGTTTTTCTGGAATTCTCTTGCTTCTTCTATGATCCAATGGATGATGGCAATTTGATCTCTGGTTCCTCTGCCTTTTCTAAATCCAGCTTGAACATCTGGAAGTTCTCAGTTCATGCACTGTTGAAGCCTCGCTTGGAGAATATGAGTTTTACTTTGGAAGCGTTTGAGATGAGTGCAATTGTGCAGTAGTTTGAACATTCTTTGGCATTGCCTTTCTTTGAGATTGGAATGAAGTGACCTTTTCCAGTCCTGTGGTCACTGCTGAGTTTTCCAAATTTGCTGGCATATTGAGTGTAGCACTTTAACAGCATCATCTCTTAGGATTTGAAATAGTTCTGCTGGAATTCCATTACTTCTACTAGCTTTGTTCATTGCGATGCTTCCTAAGGCCCATTTGATTTCACACTCTAGGATGTCTGGCTCTAGGTAAGTGATCACATCATCGTGGTTATCTGGGTCATCAAGATCTTTTTTGTCTAGTTCTTCTGTGTATTCTTGCCACCTCTTCTTCATATGCTTCTGTTAGGTCCAGACCGATTCTGAGTGCCCATCTTTGAGTAAAATGTTCCCTTGGTATCTCTAATTTTTTGAAGAGATCTCTAGTCTTTCCCATCCTCTTGTTTTCCTCTATTTATTTGCACTGATCACTTAGGAAGCTTTCCTACCTCTCCTTAGGAGTCTTTGGAACTCTGCATTCAGATGGATGTATCTTTCTTTTTCTCCTTTGCCTTTTGCTCCTCTTCTTTTCTCAGTTATTTGTAAGGTTCCTCAAACAGCCATTTTGCCTTTTTGCATTTCTTTTTCTTGGGGATGGTTTTGATCTCCACTTCCTGTACAATATCAGGAACCTCCATCCATAGTTCTTCAGGCACTCTATCAGATCTATGCCCTTGAATCTATTTGTCACTTCCACTGTATAATCATAAGGGATTTGATTTAGGTCATACCTGAATGGTCTAGTGGTTTTCCCTACTTTCTTCAATTTAAGTCTGAATTTTGCAATAATGAGTTCATGATCTGAGCCACAGTCAGCTCCTGGTCTTGTTTTTGGTAACTGTATAGAGTTTCTCCATCTTTGGCTGCAAAGAATATAATCAATCTGATTTCGGTATTGGCCATCTGGTGATGTCCATGTGTAGAGTCTTCTCTTGTGTTGTTGGAAGAGGGTGTTGGCTATGACCAGTGCATTCTCTTGGCAAAACTCTTTAGCCTTTGCCCTGCTTCATTTTGTATTCCAAGGTCAAACTTGCCTGTTACTCCATATATCTCTTGACTTCCTACTATTGCATTCCAATCCCCTATAATGAAAAGGACATCTTTTTTGGGTGTTAGTTTTAGAAGGTCATGTAGGTCTTCACAGAACTGTTCAACTTCAGATTCTTCAGCATTATTGTTTGGGGCATAGACTTGGATAACCGTGATATTGAATGGTTTGCCTTAGAAACAAACAGAGATCATTCTGTCGTTTATGAGATTGCACCCAAGTACTCACTGTGGTTTATATTTGTATTTCTTGGATAATTAGTGATGTTGAACATCTTTTCATGAGCTTATTGGCCATTTGTATGTTTTCTTTGGGAAAATGTCTATTTAGTTCTTTGGCCCATTTTTAATTGAGTTGTCCTCCATGTGAACAAGGGTAACCTATGGCTTTGAATCCCAGCTCTATACTTAACAGTTGTTACTTAACCTCCCTGGATCTCAGTTTCCTGCCTCTAAAATTTGGTTTATTGCAGAGTGCTAAAAAAAAAAAAAAAAAAGACTTGTCTATCATAAAGGAGACATTTAGTCATTATTAGTTTTCTTACACAAAGACATGGCCTCAAGATTCTATGCAACAAAAATTAATTATAAGCTATACATCTGCTTTTTCCAAAACTCTGAATTTTCTATCTTCTTTAAGCTATCACTCTTTCTGGCAGCAGAATATTCAAAAACAGCCTCTGGTTTCTGGCTATGAGATTAGTTATTGAATTTGTAAAATGTCCTATCTTCTACCATTTATCTTCATCTGGCAAGTAAAATGAAGCCAAAAGGCCATTAAGATATCAATCTTATCAACAAATTCCCTTCAGCCTTTTATGTACCTGAAATGTTTACTTAATCACTGTCAGTAATGGAAATTATCTGTTTAGTCTCAAATCCTATTCACTTTATCAAGTGTCATTTAGAAAGATTACTATATATGTGTGTATATATATATATACATATATATATGAAAAAACTGTAATCCAATATTTCAGTCAATTGCTATATTTTAAAAGCAGAATTCCATGTTCTATGGGGATATTCTAACACCTCAGTTCAAAGTAATTTTCTTCCGCCTATAATTGCAAAATGTCTATATATTTATTGTCTATATATTTAATGTCTAATATAAATTGCAAATGTGAAATAATTTAGAAGTTCCTCAAGTTCTAGACATTTCAATAGTACAGACAGTTCTGGCTATGGAGATAGAATACAGACAGATAACAGTGATCTGCTTTTATAAAAGTCAGAATCTCACGTAGGACAGAAGCCCTATGTCACACTGCTGCGTAAGTTTCTGGCTTACAGTGGAGGGATTCCTGCTGTGTGTACACATCTGTACCCTCCCTCTGGGACAGCCCTCCCACTCCCCATCCCACCACCTCGGGTCATCACAGACCATCAAGCTGAGCTCCCAGTGCCATACCACGAGTTCCCATCAGCTACCCGCTTCCTCAGGCTTTTCAAATTAGAAAATGAGCTCGCAAATAAATGGTGCAAGAAAAGGCACAAAAAAGTATCAAAAAAAAGAATATGCACATGTTAGAAATTTATTCTGCATAGAACTATTTAATAAGTTAGATGAGTCTCAACAGTAAAGCAAACAAATTACTTTTATCTCTTCAGTAAATAAACTCTCTGGGGTCAGGAGGATAACTGTACTATAATGAATATTGCTCTTAAGGAACTGCTGTCACAGTGAGGTTTTAAGACATCTCAGTAAAATCCTTTAGGTTCCTAAAAGTTATCAGTGGGTGGCAGCTCAATTTATAAATCCCATGATATGTTTCAAACCACAATAAAATACCATCAAATATTATAATAAAAATATGGTTCTGCTTTTCCTTAATCAAAGCCTAGACATTTAGTATATATTTTCAATTTCATTTTATTTCTACTAGAGTCATATAAATTTCCTCCAATTATAAAACTTTATTAATTTCCTCACCGAAGCCGATAAACCTTGAATACTAAAGTACCACTTTTATTTCCCCACTTTTTCTGCTTAACTCCCAGGAATATATTTACTTTTCACTTATATTTTTTTCTTCCGAGAGGTTAAGAATATATCATAAATATATTTCACTATTTTCATAAGATCACTATTGAATTTTTTTTTTTTTTAAAGCATAGTTAAGACAAATAACTGAGTATGCTACTCAAGGAGGCAATTTGGCATAGTGGTTAAAGCAGTCTCTGAAATTATATAACTATATTTGAGCCCAGCCTCTATCACTACTAGCTATATAACCTAGCCTAATTACTATAATTTTCTGTCTCAGATTTCTTATCAATATACTCAGATAATAATAATACCTACATCATGAGATTGTAAAGATGAAATAAAGTAATCCATGTAGAAGAAAATAAAAACAATAATTTGAAAAGATACATGCACCCCAATGTCAAAGCAGCATATGGAAGTTAATAGCCAAGATACAGAAGCAACCTAAAACGTCCATTAACAGATAAATGGATAACGGGGTGTGTGTGTGTGTGTGTGTGTGTGTGTGTGTATTTATATATATACGTACATATATATCTCCCTCACACACATACACACACACAATGGTACATTACTGAGTCATAAAAAAGAATGAAATTTACCATTTACAACAACATGGATGGACCTGGAAGGTATTTTGCTTAATGAAGTTAAGCCAAACACAGAAAAACAAATTCTATATGATATCACTTAAAGGTAGGATCTAAAAAACAAAATGAATGAATATAACAAAACAGAAACAGACTCACAGATATAGAGAACAAACTATTGGTTACTAGTAGGGAGAGAGAAAGGAAGAAGGGCCAGATAGAGACAGGGGATTAAGAGGTACAAACCAGCAAGTATCAAATAAATAAGCTACAAGGGTATATTGTACAGCCCAGGGAAATATAGCCATTGTACTGCAGTCATTTTAGATTCAGTATAATCTATAAAAACACTGAATCACTATATTATACATGTGAAAACAATATAATATTATAAATCAATTAAACTTCAATGAAATAAATAAAAGTAATTCATGTAGAAAGAATAGCAGGATGCCAGACACATAGTGTCCTACAGACATCAATTGCTGTATTATTATTTTTTCCAAGAAGATGGTAAATCTATGCTCTGTATTACATGATAACAGGCGATAATTTCATGTAATTCCATATTCAGAAACAAGTATCATAAAGGTTAAAGTGGATTGAGGTACCACTATATTGTGGTTTCAGGTTGCTAACTAAATGCTAGAAAACACGGCACCCAACACTGACCTACGACGAGCCTACTAACCTTACAGAGTCCACCGAGGAACAGAGAGACTACTTACTGTTCACGGCAACCCACTCATTTAGATCCTCCCCCTCAGGGAGCATGACAGCCATCCGCAGGTTGCCACTGCCCAGAGTGGCCTCCGCATGCTTTAAGAGCTCATACTGGTGAGAACCCTCTGGAATGTTCTTCTTTGGTTTAAATGTTTTAGACGAGCGACTCCCACTATGAATAGAAAAGAAAAAAGAGTGTTTAAGGCATGACCTTCCACAGAGTCTACCACACGATACCAGTGGATAAAATAACATAGAAGTGATCCTAAAAGTCCACCAGTGTATAGCTTGAAATTGTACTGGCTACATTAAATCTTGGAAATATCATTGCTGTAACTACTGTTTGATACCCCAAACTCCTACAACCTTCTCTATATTCTCTACTGTAACTATAAAGGAGAAAAAAGAATTATTAGCTATAACTAATCCAGCTAACAAATCCAACAATAAATTAATGATTCAGGATTACAGGTTGTAATACATAAAAATAAAAAAGTAGTCTGTGATAATCTTTAGTCATTGTATTCTTTTTTACCCCTATTCTAAGTCTCTCATTCTAAGATAAATAATTTCCTTTGTACAAGAAGCACCGTAGCCCGCCAGACTCCTCTGTCCATGGGGATTCTCCAGGCAAGAATACTGAATGGGTTGCTATGTCCCCCCTCCAGAGGATCTTCCCAGCCCAGGCTCAGCTCTTAACACTGACCCCTCTCCGTGCCAGGAGTGCGGTGTGTGTATGTCTGTCTGTCTCCTTGCCGGGGGTGTGTGAGGGGGGTGTGCGCCCACACATGCGCGCGTGCTAAATCACTTCAGTCTCTACTGAATAGCCAAGAATCTCTTTACAAACACTAATCAGGTGACGTTATTCCTCTGCTTAAAACCACACTCAGTGGTTTCCCAGTGGACTTCAGAGTGAACCCCAAAGTCAAATATTAAACATACTAAGGCTCTGGACCCACATTAGAATATGGAAACTCTTCTTCAGTTTAATCAGATAATGTATTAAAAGTCAAATTCTCTCCCAGCATCTCCGAAATATGAAAACATAGAAAAGATGATCATGCCTACCAAACTTGAGGCTTATTTCATTTTCCTCCTCCTCCTTTATCAAAATTTAGTGTGAAAAATAACCTTGACCAATAATTTTTTTGACAAAAGACATTTTTACTAAGTTTTGTATGATTAAGCACAAAAGCAGCTCTCCTAACACCAATCTGGCGTATGTATTCAGACCAAGTGTTAAGCACGCTCCCTTTAATTAGCCCATGAATCAGCCCGGTGCCACAGCTGATGATGTGACAAAGCTGCTCTGAAAAGGGCTGGCAGAGAACGTGAGAACAACAAGCACCCACAGGGGGCCCCGCAAATATCTACTTATTGAACCACTGTCCCTTCAAGCGTTAGGCTTCCAAATGTCTTCTTGATTGATGACCCATTCAGAATTGGTCTTCCACAAAACTAAACACACTCTCCTCAAAGACCATACACATGGGTAAAAAGAAAAAAAAAATCAATCTGAGTTTGGTTTTGTGAAGGTCAATTCTGACACTAATCAGCTATGTTATTTAAGGCAAATTACCTAACTTCCTTGAGCCTATTTTTTCTTTAATAGTGAAAGCCTAATAACAATATAAAACATTACCATTACCTGTATCATGCAAGAGCTGCAAAATGAGAAAATAATAAATGAGAAAAAAAGCTTTTAAAACTGTAAAATGCTGTGCAAATGTTAGTATCCTTCCTTTTCCTGAACCAGAATGACTCACAGTAAAAAGCAAAATGGTAGTCCAATGTCCAAAGCTGGACTCAACCCCTACTCCCGCTCTCATTTCCTAAGACTGGATGGGGAAATTTTTACTTTGGAAATGAATGCCCTTACACATTAAGTTACAAATAGAATTTTTAAAAAAATTGTTTGGGTTTGGGTTTTTTTTTGGTGCTTTTCCTATATCAAGGTTCAAGTGATCTCAGAATAATGGTGGGGATAGACAGGAAATCAAGAAAACAAGGTGCCCATTCTCATTTTGCTATTTTCTCCTTAGGTTACTTAGGAAACTACAAATTATCATCTGGGCTTCGATTTCTTTATTTTGCTTTTTTGAAAGTCTGGAAAATAACTTTTTACAGAAGGGTATAATTTAGAGATGAGATGATGTTTATAAAATGCTTTCAGTTCTCTGAGTTCTCTCCCTTCTCAGTTCCTCATGTCCATGCACAGTTATACTCCCAAAATGCTTTCCTGTCCTCCACTGAATTCCCCTTCTTTCTGACCCTTCTGCTTTATTCAGGCAAAATAATTCATCATTTCAGTATTCTGATTTTTTAAATGTTCTTTTTTCAAATTATATTCAACTTTTTCAACGGCTACCTGAAACTTCAACCAGGATGCACCCTACTCTGGAAGGGGTGATCAGTACTGCTCCTTATTCCCATGTCAAAAGACCAACTGAAGAGTCCTCAAGTTCAAAAGCACAAGTACCAAAACATGTACACAAAATTCCTCATCAGTGAGTGCAAGCTCTTACACTAATGTGGCCAAACACATAAGGTCTATGATAAAACCCAAACGAACTTTTCAGCTAACCCAGTATCTCACATGGCATGTTAAGATATTGATGCAAATATTAAAAAAACATTTTCAATAACAGAAAGTATGTAGCCCCCCGCCCCACCCTTTTCAGAGTCTGTCTATACAAGCATAAAAATACTTGTGCTTGTTTTATACAACTGCTGCCTACTACAGTATACTAAAGAATGCTTTCCACTTTAATATGTCCAGAAGATTGTTGTATTTTAAAGTAGATCTACTTTATTCTTTTTAAAGACTGAATAATATTTCCTCATATAGATAAATAATATTTTCAACCAGTCACCTATTGATAAACATTTAGGTTGTTTCCAGTCATTTATCACTTTAAACAATGCCGCAGTAAATCTCCTCATATTATAAAAGATAAATTCTTAGAAGTAAAATTGCCCTTCTAAAGGGCATATGCATTTTTAATGTTTACATAAGGTCTATTTTTTCCCCCAAAATAAGTTGGATTCTTTTAAAACTCAATAACAATGTTTGAGAGTAGCTGTATACTTTCTTGGTCTTAAAGGACAGGAATTCAGTTAGTTTCTCTTGTATAGCTCCCAACAGGACATCATAACTATATGACAACTTAGAGCTTTCTGATTAGAACGAAAATGTGATTGACAAGTCATAGCATTACCCTGAGGTCTTTTCTTTTAAAATAAATACCCAGGAGTCAGGTTTGTCTATCCCAGTCCTTTTACTCATATTTGAAGGTCAATCAATTTCGAGAGAAAGACAGGATGGCTTGACAAGTAAATAAGTGAGCCTTAAGGGAAAACTCTGACAAACGGACAAAACAAATCCGTTATAATTAGTCATCCAATTTGATCTACTTTTAGTAAATTTCAAAAGCATTTCGTACTTCCTCTTTGAGACCCTAAAGAATAAACTGGTCCCCACTGTAACATCTACATTTATTCTCATAGCCCATTGGTTACCATCTCAACACAGTTACACCCATCATTACCCTCAGTTTTAACTATGTAATGTTCAGTTTTAACTATTTAATGTTCAATCCAACTATCAACAAATTGGTATTTTCTAAACTGGGTTTGAGAATCTTAAGGCTGAAGGAATTGGGGAGGGGGTTTTTATAGAGAACTCAATACGGGGGTACCAGGAAGGACTGAAAAGTCAAAGTGTTAGTCACTCGGTGGTGTCTGGCTCTTTGCGACTCTTTGCAACCCTTGTAGGCCTCCAGGCTCCTGTGTCTACGGGATTTCCCAGGCAAGAACTGAACTGGATAGCCATTCCCTTCTCCAGGGTATCTTCCCCACCCAGGGACCAAATCCAGGTCTCCTGCATGCATCGCAGGCAGATTCTTTGCCACTGGAGCCACAGGGGAAACCCCACTAGGAAGGGTTAGAAGAATATATATCTATATATAATTTAGACAGTGAAAAACATGTCAATATAATCAAAATTAGAAACAAATTTACATAAACTTATTTGCATCAATAACTCCATATCTTCAAAGTCAAGCAACTTACTCTGATCACCCAGCTAATTAAATAGCAGAAGTGGGATTCAACAAAAAGACAACTCACAAATTGAGAGAAAATATTTGCAAGTGAAGTGACCAACAACGGATTAGTCTCCAAAACCTGCAAGCAGCTAATGAGGCTTAACATCAACAAAACAAACAACCCAGTCAAAAAATGGGCAGAAGACCTAAATAAACATTTTTCCATAAAGGACAGAGAAATGGCCAAGAGGCACAGGAAAGATGCTCAACACTGCTAATTATTAAAGAAATGCAAATCAAAATTACAACGAGATATCATCTAACACCAATTGAAAACAACTATCATCATAAAATCCATAAACAATAAATGCTGGAGAGGGTGTGGAGAGAAGGGAACCCTCCTATACTGTTTGGAACATAAACTGGTACAGCCACTAGGAAGAAGAGTATGGACGCTCCTTAAAAAGCCAAAAATAGAGCTATCATATGACCCTGCAATCCCTTTCTTGGGCATACATCCAGAGAAAAACATGGTCCAAAAGGATAAATGCATTCCGATGTTCACTTCACTGGGGCACTATGTACAACAGCCAAGACGTGGAAGCAACCTAATGCCCATCAACAGAGAAATGGATAAAGAAAACGTGGTGCATATATACAATAGAATATTACTTGGCCACTAAAAAGAATGGAACAAAGCCATTTGCAGCAACAGGAGTGGACCTAGGGACTATCGTACTGAATAAAGTCAAGTCAGACAGAGGAGAAATAGCATGTGACATCCTTTTAAATGCAGAATCTAAAAAGAAATGATACAAATGAACTTATTCACAAAACAGACTCAAAGACTTACAGGATGAACTTGTGGTTGCCAGGAGGAAGGCTGGGGGTAAGGGATAGTTAGAGTTTGGGACTGACACGTGTACAAGGCTGTATTCAAAACAGATGACCAACAAGGACCTACTGGACAGAGCACAGAACTCTGCTCAATGCTACATGGCAGACTACGTGGCAGACTGGACAGCAGAGGCGTCTGGGGGAGAATGGGTACATGTATATGTATGGCTGAGTTCCTTTGCTGTCCACATGCAACCACCGCAACCTGTTAATCACCTGGACTCCAACA